ATTGAACTTTTAAAAGGTAAGCTTAAATATTAATACAATACTTAAATGCATTGATCAATTTTGAGTTATTCTGTAGTTTATTGTTGCCTATGACATCTACTCCTCTCTATCTAATTGTGATAAAGGCCCAATCAAGAGCCCTCTGCAGGAGCTAGTTTAAATGCCACCCAATAGAGAAGCTCTCCAATTCCTCAATCCAAGCCACAATCCAGTACTCCACTGTGCTTCCATATCACATAAATGAATCTAACTCACCTGGAATTTGAACTTGGCTCTAATTTTAGTTGAGTTCATTATATTAACTTACATGCTAATATCCTTGAGAAAGCTATGAATCCATTCCTTCTTCCTCAGCTATGGGTAAATAGCAGGACAGACTGGGTTCTATAGCCCTGGCCTAGGAGAAGGAAAATTCTGAATTCAAACCAGCCTGGAGAGGATTGGGCTCTGTCAGGCTACCCTACTCAAGACACACCAATTCTGCTGCAACTACAGATTGTGCCCCAACAACTCCAATGAGTTATGGGATTTATGATCATGAGGTGTTCTATGAAAAGGAAAAATTTGAATTTAAGCTCAGTTTGTAGAGGAGCAAGTATTGTCAGTCTACTTTGTCCTAGATATACCCACTGCTTCTATGGCTACAGTATATGTTGTGCCCCAATAACCTTAATGAGTTACAAGATTCATGATCATGAAGTCACCATAATTTTACAAAATATAGTCAAGAATAAAATGAATTCACCTATGAATTTTATATGATGGTAATTTTTGGCATTGCTGCTCTATAGATCAACTGTGAATTATAGAAATTTCTATTGCAGTTCATTTGTTAAGAAAAAGATATGAAAAATCTTAGCTAAGAAAATAGGGAAAAATTCAGGCCGAAAAAAAACTAGAAAAAATGTAGAAAAAAAATAAGCTTTTGTGAATCTATATCATAAAAGAAAGGTTGATTCTCTGTCCATCACACACTGCCGATATATGAATTTACAATACTATTTATTACTATTTTATTATCTAAGGTTATTTTTAGTGGATACCCATATTTGAGTAGATGCTCCATTTATTTATTAAACAGTATATTTATTTATTTTCATCTACCAATCAGAATATTTGAGAAATTACAGAAAAATATGTTCTTTCATGTTGGATTAATAAATGAATAAAATAAAAAGAATCCATCATTTCTTTAGAAATTGCTTTGTTTACGTTAGGATACAAAACTGAGCAGATATAAATGTTTCAAAAGTCTAGGAAAGATTTGTGTTTATAAGGCACTATTCAATTTTGCTTGATCATTGACATTCATGGCTGAGATTGTGTAAAACATGTCAGATCTAACAATGGTTTATCTTGCTAAGACAGCACATATTTTTCTTTAATAAGATTTCTCAATTTACATTATTCAGACTATTGTCCTCATCTTTGTTGCCATATTTATCACAACATTTCAGCCATTGTATGCTCCAGCCTTCTTCAGGTAGTTGGAATGTCGAACTGAACCCTTTATTTATTTAGACTGCCTGCCTTATATAAAGGAGTTATCAGAGAAAATACAAAGGATCTGTGGTCCATATAACATTAGGACAACCTTCAAAAGCTGGACAACAATTCGCAGATATCTCTCCTGAGTAAGACTCCCTCCATAGAGGAGAACATGATTAAACACTGTGTATATGCCATCCCGTGCAGCTGTGGAAAGAAATATAAAGGGTAGACAGGCTGCACTCTTAAGGTAAGGCTTCAAGAACACTAGAAAGCTGTAACACGAGGAGAAGTGGAAAAATCAGGCGTGGCTGATCACATATAGAGAGAAAAAGGAGATTACCACCCTCTTTGGGATCAAGTTGAAATCATAGACAAAGAATATCATTGGAAAATTCGTAAACTTAAGGAATCAGCACATATGCTAGGCCACAAAAATCTCCTGAGCTGACCAAGCATAGAAATGAATATAATATGGGAACCAGTAATAAGGAGTGCCAGAGAAAAAGAAATAATAACAATGAAAATTGCAATATAAGCTCTATATACATATGCTTGTGTTGTGTGAGTGACTTATGTGTGAATGTATATATAAGCACACATGCATACACATACAATTTTTGAAATAAGATATTGAAATTATACATTGCCCTCCCACTCAGTCAGGACAACCAGACCATGGGCTGAGCCATAAAATAATAAAGTTGGAAACCAAAAGGATAAAAAATCACAAACAATTTTTTAAAATTAAAAAAAAACCCAAATAATTAAAAGATTTTATTGAATATTTTGATAAAAATGGTTTGGTTTGGTTTGTTTTATGGCATATTAATCTCAATGGGTTATTTAATGCCAACAAGATTTTTTATTGCTGACAATATTTTTCTTCAAAAATGTATTGCTGGTAATAATTTTTTTTTCAAGAAATATATTGCTGGTATTTAAACCTATATTTACACTTTCATAGTGTTTTCACCCCAGTTTGGAGGTTAACTATTTGCTCATAGCTGGGACCCTAGGTGCTACCAGTCAGGGTGGACCTTGTGAACAGCAGCAATTAAGAGGTGATTCCGTGTTCCTCAAAACCTCCCAATCAGAGGCCTTGTTAGTTTAACAGTCTATTCTGAAAGAAATTTTATATTTCCTTTTAAATATCTCATGAAAGAATAAAATGGTTTATTCTTTTTCAATCTAGAACTATATTTTATTGATGCTAGAGAGGCTTGCAATTTCTGTCAGAGTTGAAGATCAGTTAATGTGTGAGCTGTAGTATGAAACAATCCAAAAAATGTGTAGTTAAATTAATCAGTTTTATTAAATTTATTTTTTTAATATCTAAAAGAAATCTTTCTTCTCAATAAAGCATCTATGCTTTATAAGATGTGTAAACCTACTTTTTGGGTGCCAATTTGTACAAAAAATAAATTTAAAACAAAGTAAAAATATAGTTAATGAAAGAATAAAAATAAAGAATGAAAAATTTGAAAAAAAAAAATAAATGGTCTTGATCATCCAAATAAAAATAAAAATGTACAATGAAACATAAAGAAGAAATTAACAGTAAAAATTGAGAAATAAAAAGAATATTTTGTTTTTATTTTAACCTAAAAAAATAAAAAATTAGTTGTCAAGATTCTCTATCCATCCCGAAATGTTATTAAACAGGGGAGGTAACTGGACGATATAATTCTAGTGTTAAAAAAAAAAAGAAGTTATTTTTCAGCAAATATAAGCTATTTTCCCCCTCTCAGATGCTTTCTTTTTATCATATAAAAATAAACATTGGGATCACATTCTTATTGATATCATTGAATTGCTACATTGTTTAAAGACGGTCGTTGCAATTTTACTCGAACAAGTGTTTGCAACTGGTATTTTTGAATAACGAACGAACCTTATTTTTTTTTTCTTTGGTTTACTTGAAAAATGAATACCAAAATTGGATCATATGCAATATTTTATTTATTTCATAATTGATAGATTATTTTATTTGGGGGGGGCCACAATTAAGAACTGTAAAATAACAACGAAGAAACCATCTACGTAAAATATAATTTTTAGTTAAGTTAAGTAAATATGAACATGTTTGTCATTTAGTGCAATTTTGTTTTTAAAACATTCCTCCTAGACTTTCGTTTCAACCATGCAAAGTATTTTAAATTTCAACTTCATTCACGCGAACTTAAGTCCTCTCTAGTCTAGCTATTTTAAAAATAATCTATTTTTTTCAGTTTGTTATATAATTATAACCACTTACCAATTTTTTTAATAATTATTTTTATTTTATAGACAGTATGGCGTAAATATTTTTCTTAATCCAAAAAAAAAAAAAAAATGTGAAAAATGTGCAGGTTTATTAACTTGTGTCAAATACATAGTTTCTGAATTTTTTTAAAGAGAAAAATAGAATTTATTTGGAAATACAAAAATTGTCATCTCCATCTGTAGTGTAGTGTGTCTTTCGTTTTTTAGGGTCTATAAAATTTTAGGTATTTCAACTAACTTAAAGAGACACACCCACATGTCCCTCCATAAAGCGTAATAATGTGTATATGTGGGACAAAACTAAACTTAAAAGGAAAAAAATACAATTAACATGTAAAACGTGTCAGCAAAATTTGTAAAAATGTTGTTTTCGTGTATTATGGTCTCTTGATGAAAACATTCCATTCATTGAGTTTAAAATCTAACGAGCAAAGTGCCAAATCTGTTTGGATTACAAAGTACGTCTAATTACATTTCACACTTTTCGAACCTAAAGCTCCACAAGTTGAACGTTGTCAAAATATTTCACTCTTTTAACGGTCAGTATTAGACGCTTGCTCAATTACAAATATGGGGGCCCAGAATATATGAAAATTGAATCCTGTTGAATTCGTCACATAATTTTCATCTTTAAAAAAACATTAATAAATCAAAAATAAATGTTTATTAATTAATATTATGCAATTGTTGTTGCATAAGAACCATAAATAACGTTTTTTATGCTTGCGTACTTGTTTATTCTCATAGCGCTAATGCGTATCCGTATTTACTAACAAAACAGACGTTAGCATGCCAAAGCAGAGCAGTGATTGGCTAACAGTAAAGGACCCGGATGAAGCTTATTTCTAGCAAGACTTTGACATGGCGACCACGACGCTTCATGGACCGAATTTCTAGCAGTCCCCATTTCTGTTGTTGGCCCAACTACAATAACGATTGTAACCAACTTCATTACCAGAAACTGCACGACGTCTCGGAACAGGACGTAAAGACGTTGACCACGACGCCGAGTAGGAGGCGGTCGCCACTACGGAGGAGGGTCAATCAGAGGAGGTAACACTGTTAAAAAAGAAACAGTAAAATAGAAGTGAAAAATTAACGACAGGAGACGACCCTAGAGGGTCGCCACCAGCATCCTGTGTCTTCTTCACTACCACCTACTCTCTATTTTTTTTATTAGAATGGTGTGCACGGAAGTTGTGTGTGAGTGGTTCAAGAAATTGAATCCTCACACAAGGATCGACATCATGTGTGGCCTGCTCCATATGTGCGTACCGCCCGAGCTACGATTTCTCGGAACGTTCCTCGAGAACCTGGGCAAGAAGGACTACCACAAATTAAGGGATGCCGAGATCAAAGCCAACAATCACATCGATCTCGCCAAAAACACCAACGCTTCCATCAACAACACGACGTCGAATGACAGTTCCACGTCCTCAGGTTCTTCGACTGCCACTGGTGCTGCTGGTTCTTGCAATTCATCTTCATCTTCGAACATCATGAGTGAAGAAAGTCTCCGTAACAAACTGTCCCTGTCGTTGGCCCTCCTCTACTCGACCAACCAGCAGTGTTCTAATATTCTTTTCAAATTGCTTGAAGCCAATGTGTCTCGGGCCCTGCAGGTGATGCCTTCTATGGCTGTGGTGACTATATACGAAATCCTCACAATTCTTGTGATGGCAGCCAACCACCCGGCCTTCACCTTTTCTCAGCGGCTCATCATGGCAAAGTTGTATAAATCGGCGGAGAAGTCCGCCGAGGGACTCATCCCTAAGGTAAGAAAAAGTCTTCACTTTTATTAAAAAAGAAAAAAAAATCAATCCATCTTAATTCTTGACAATCATCTTTCAATCGTTGTCAAACATTTCCCTTAAAGAAAGCGTTATCTTTTTTACTTTCCTATTTCTCATATTGCGAACATACCTTTATTTAAAACTTTTGATAGCATTCATTTTTAATCTTCACCTCCATCACCACACCCTCATTCATTTTAAATCGTCTCAACAGGATTTTGTATGCTTTCATATTGCAAGCATGACTTTAAAAAAACATATATATATAATCTTAGTCTTTACATTTAAAACCACAGGATGTCTTTTTGGGAAGTGGGTGACAAAAGCTACGAAAAGAATAGATGAAATAGATCACTTGTACGACATCAAATTCTACATTTAAGTAACAGACATGAGACGGTTTTGGTCACGTGACCACCTTTTTGTAAAACTTACTGTTGACAAGCATTATGAATAAAAAAAAATCCCACCCTTTTTTTTTTTTTTTTTTTTTTTTTCTACTATGTCATTTTTTTCTTTCTTGGATCAGCTGTTAAGTTTTAAAATGAGGCAGATTTACGATATGAGGTATGGCAAAGAAAACTAACGCTTTCAATCAATTATTAAATAGAATCCTCCTCTACCAAGGTGTAGGTAAGTAAGGTTTGTATTTCTTGTTTTAAACAGCTACTTTTTTATCTAACGATTTAATTTGTACTTGTAAGTAGCCGACTTGTGATGCACAGATATAAAAAATAAATTAATCACCTTTTTTGTATTTTTTTTTTTTTTTTTTATGTTTTACTTTTAAAATGTAACATTTTTTGTAAAAAATACAATAACAGCTTTTTACAATACCGACAATATGACTCGTGCTTAAACTGGTATCAACCAGTAAAAAAAAAAAAGTACAATGCAAACCAACAAAGCGTACTATAATTTCTTTTTAAGTATAATTTCTTTTTATTCTCGAGGCATTTAAGACTTAATTTTAATCACGTGAAAGTATCTTAGTGTTCATTTTTCTTTTTCCCTGTCTTGTTCGATGTGTGTTGGTTGAGCGATCTGCCATTCTTACGACTAAACAAAAAAAATCTGACATTATTAATTATATCGATCTGTTCTTAGACCTGAAAATAACACTTGTCTGTCCCCGATCTTTTTTTTTCTTCCATTAAATTGAAAGAATATTTACTCATAAAAAAAAAAAACCCTGTTGCTGAGAAAAAATGCATAAAAAAGTACCAGCCAATAAAGTTGAAATTATAAGGTCAAGGCCAAGAACTGGAATCACAGACCGAATTGATGCGATGATAAATGCACTTTATAATATTTTGTACCAATCACCCCCCCCCCAATTCATTTGGAGAGTCTATGAAGTCGTAAATTAAATCATTTGGTATTAAGAATGTATCATTGTATGTATGGATTTTTAAAGGAATTTGATCTTAAATTGCAGATCCTCAGCTCATGAGTCAATAAAATAAAATAGGCCAGTACTCAACAATTTGTGGACGATTTAAGGATTTTAAGAACCCTTCTTAGTTATTTAAAAATCTAATGTTTATAATTAAATGATTTCTTTTTATATTTTATTAGACTTTTTGTTTTATTTGATTTCACCAGAAATGAACACCTGTTTCTTAATGTTAATGTGTTACTCTTGACTTGAGTCTTGCTTGAAGTAATTTTTATTTAAATGAAAATTTGTAAAAAAAAAAAGCAAGTTCTTGTATTTTTTTTTTTAATTCTTGAAAGACAGAAACGAATATTTGTCCATTAAATATTTGATTTGTTACGCACAGTCCCTTTTTTTTTTTTCTTTGTAACTATAGATTTTTTTATTTTTTTTTTTTTAATTTTTTTAAATTATGATTGTTTTTCAAGTCACACCCTGGATTTCTTTTTTGAGTTCATTCTATTGATATGAGACTTGGGCATATTTTGTCTAGGGTTAATGATAAACTTTAATTTTTAAACTATTATTAATCGTCGCCTCTAACCAGGTGTGCTTACCTGTCTAAACAATGATACCTTCTTGTCGAGTTCGCCATCCTTCTTATCGATTGTTTATATTGAATGTAAACAAACGTGTTGCTGCTGAATTTGGTATGCGCTTTTTTGGAAATTTGTCTGTTAGTGAAAATTAGTCAGTTCTTTTATATATAAACTAAAATCACTTATTGTCTGCAATTTCATTGCAGAGGCTATTTTTTTCTTGTAGTAAAATTATCTTTTATTTCCTTTGAGTTTTTCCACCTCTCTTTAAATTGCTTTTTTGAAATTGTTTGATACGCACATTATTTTGTGTTTATTTTTAGCAAAGTAACTTGATTAAATTTAAAAAAAAAAAATTCTAGTAATGCCGGGTGCTTGTTGATTTGATGAAATTTCAGTTTCATCTGATGAAATACAATAAATTTTTAATCCTCACTCAAATCAAAAATTTCTTTCAAAATATTGCTCATTATTTTTTACTTTACTTATTTTTCCATTCTACTCCTGTTTTTGTTTTTAGTCTTTATCTTCATCAGATTGCTTAAATCGATTTTTCAACTTCATTAGAATTAAAAAAAAGATAATCTTTAGCTGCAGAGATGTAAAAATAAATTAAAATTTTTTTATGTCTCCTCAGCATTTTTTAAAATCTTGTTTTTCGGAAATTTATTACCATATTTTTTATTTTTTTTTTTTTTTTAACAATTTTTAATTGATTATTACAAATAATACCCGATAATTTCAATGTGCAAGAAACATGGCAGATTACCAACAACAGCCCTAACAAAACAATGTTCTTATTGTATTGTCTTATTAAATTTATTGCTGTTAGAGCTGAAATGTCAAACAAATACCAGCTGACATTATTGCGGGGGTGTTCTATTTACGTTTTTACTTTATTTATTTTTTTGTTAACTAAAAAAAAATCTCTTAATGTCTAAATCTCTTTACATTGGAGTTTCCTACACATTCTTAACACCGAATAAAGCGCTTTATTTTCTTTTGCATATTCGTTTTTTATTCCTAAATAATTTATGTTGGTCGGAAGCCCCTAAATGAGGCTTTTTTTTTTTTTTTTTTTTTTTAAGCAAAAAAGATGCATCAGGTTGTAAAAATATTTGTAGTTTGTGCCCATTTTTATTATTTCTTGCATGTAAAAAAAGAAAAAAAAATGTATCACAATTGAATAAAAATAACACGAAGTTTAAGATATCTAATATCCTCTCCTCTCTTCTTACGAAAGCAGCTTTGTTGTCTTCAAAACAAAACTGTTTAGTTGCAAAAATGAGGTGGGATGACAACATGTAGGAAGTCCTGTAAGTATAGACGTTCGTTAACTTACACAAAAACAACCCTGCCATTCTCACCAGTAATCGTACGTAAGCAAATAATAATGTGAATCGCACACTGTTGCCTTCCATTTGTTGTATGGATGCGCAAGCGCGTGAGAATTAGTAGCAGGCACCACAGTCCAATATGGCGGCGGCATTGCAGCTTCTCGTGAGGAAAAGCTAGACTGAATAATGCTAGGGAATAATAATAATAATAAAACTGGCTTTAGTTTGCTGTTTACCTAGTCTAACTTATTACTTACAGCGGTCTTTAAAACGAACTCTGATATCTGTTCGTTCAACAGCCCCCACCTTTTCTGTTTAAATTTGCTATTTCCTTCGTTTGTCACATTCCTCCCCCTTTTTTCTTTTTCCCACTCTTTCAATTAATTAAAAATTTTCGTTTTTACTGCTAAATGAATATGTCTTTATTATTGTTGTAATTATTATTATATTCTTGTTTATGACTTTTTAGGAACTTTTCTTTAAAAATCTAACTTAATACCCCCCAAAAAAAAAACCCTTTTCGTGCTGATCGGCTTCTTACTCAACATATGGCTTCAAGACCGGCACATTCCTCACCTCTACCACTCAACAATATTGCACAATTTATTTTGTTAAAGGCAATTTCACTCTAATTGACATACATCGAGCATGTTTTTTATGATCTTGTTATCAGTGAATTTTTGAATTGTGATATTTATAAATTTGCAATTGAATTCTTTATCTTGACTCGAGGAGACTGGGTGGAGGTGAATGCTAGTATTCAATATTCATTCATTTCTTTCGATTCAATCATCCGGGTTTATAACACACAAGTGGGACATCAACCCTAAACTTGTTCTATTGCCACAATTTTAAATTATTTCCATTTTTGAAATATTTTACCAAACGTTTTTAAACTCTTTGAACTTTGATTTTTCTTTTCCTTTTTTAGACACTGTTTATTAAAAGTTTAAAAGCAGAAAATCTCAGTTTCTTCAATTTTATAATCTTTTTATTTTAAAGTTTTTAGTTTCACTTTATTCTCATGAGAAATAAATTGACTACATATTTTGATGGCATTCTTATTTTAAAATATTCAGGTGCTCCTGATGAGCATAAAAATGAGCACCTCTCTAAATAAAACTCTCTCTCAAATCTATTGGCCAAACAACTCTTTAAAATAGCTTTTCTTTTTTTTGGGGGGGGGAATTCATTGAGGCATTTAATCACTCTTATTTTTTTCTGATGAATTTAATTTAAACAGTGGGCATAACATTTTTTTCTTTATATTTCAAGAAAATGTGTACACATTGTATTATTAAAAAATAAATTTGTGTAGAACTGTAGATTTATTTTATTGATTTAAAAAAAACATTTGACTTGCATGGGTGCAAGTGACTTTATTTACGATGGTAAACACTTTTTCTGAATGAGATTGAAGGTCGCCTAGAAAAATCTGGCTGTTAGTAACAAATATAAAAAACAAAACCAGTACTAATACTGGTATATATTGTAATTGCTCTCGGTACTGAAAGATTTTTTTTTTTTTTTTATTGGAAATCTGGCTAAGAAAACTGTCAGTGTGTTCATTTGTGTTAAAAATGGTCCGGAATTTGGATAGTCTATAAAAAAAAAAAAAATCTACAAAATATCTCGTCTGAAATGAATTTTTTTATAGTCTTAATTGCA